TAGGACTGGAGTGGCATAAATATTCCCAGTCAGAGGGTGAATTTGTTAAAATCATGAAAGAGCTATAGAATGATTTATCATCATTTATCCAAAAAGAAAATTGCTGCCAGCATTCATATTTATGTGTTCTATTTTTCAGCTTCTGAGAACACTGGTGTTCTAATGCAGATTTTATCCATCACAGCTCCACTTTTCTTTAGCATTGATTTTGACAGGTGCCTTCTAGATGCCCCATAAGGGAGAAACTGTAGGGACATGTTGCTGTATGAAATAACATTTGCATAATTGTAGCTTCCTTCCATGTTTCTGCAATAGCCAGAGTTTCTTTATGTTCTGCTTATAGCGACAGGCATCAAAATATATTCCATGGTTAAACATATACAGTACATTTAAAAGAGAGGAATGCCAAACAGGTTTTGCAGAGGAGAAAAGACAGATGCATGGTTAATAAGAGACCAGCATGCATGCCACAGAAGCTGGCTCATTAGGCAACGACAGTACAGATATGAATGGGAGGATATATTTTATGTTTTAACTTGTCCTGCCCCTTAAACCAAAGAACTTAACATAATTTTGCCCAACACTCAGTGTCTGTTTAACATAAACCATTTTATCCCAGGATAGATTGTGAGCAAATTACAAACAATCTTTGGAACAATTTGTTATCTCTGAAGGGAACTGAATTCAGCCATTATTATTCAGTGACCATGAACTACTAAACACCCTGATTCATGCATATACGGGCTCCATGCACTGCAAAGCACAAGGGCTCTGATGTGCATACACACCAGAGGAATCTGATGCACTAAGATGTTCTTGTTCGCTAGAACAGGGAAGGGCAATCTGAGCAGAGTCAAAGGCCATTTCTCAGATCTGCCAGCAGCTTAAATTTGGCAATTAGGTGAATATTGATTACTACAAGTTCTAGAAATGGAAAGGATGGTACATAATGGTACTTTCTTTCCATTACTGAAAGAAAGAAAAAACATTTTCAATCTTCCATCTCCCTCTCCTCCTTTATCCTGCCCTTATTAATCTTCTTTGTTTATATATTTACTAATTTGCAAGTATCTACCCTGATCTGAGCAATGACAATAACAAAAATAATGTATTTATCTATAGGAGGAACAAAACACTGAGAGTGCAATTGAAAGGAAATTTTCTCCATGCTTGAGTTTCAAGTTCTCTACTGCGAAGTTGTCATGTTCTCTGGTTTACTCCCTGAAACACTGTTGTTGTTTTTAAATTGAGCATATTTAATGATCTACGTTTATTTGCTGTTATGCACAAGGAGCAACTCACAGACTAGGGCAGTGGACACCAGTATTAATATAAGATATTGCTGGTCCTAGCCTTACCACCAGTGCATCAGAAACTGCTGCCAGTGATATGTCACTCGCTGTTTCTTACCCTCACTGCAGCATAGCTGTGGACCAGTCAGTATTATGGGATTGAACAGTACTTTTTAAACCCCATTAAACATTTGTGCATCATGGTGAATATGCCAACCATTTGTTAAAAAATGTACAAGTGGACGAAGAGTTCCTTATCAGGCACCAGATACAACAAAGTGGCTTTGGAACTCTGTGCACAAGCCACATAAAGCAGATCTGGTGGTCCACCCAACTTAATCAGCAGGTCTCTGGCCCTCTTCACACATAATTTTTGCCATATAACACTACCTCTGCACATTGTAATCCCACACTGGAGGAGTTTATGTATAACTCACTTGATCACATGAGTAGCAACTTTCCTATGTGATTATTATTTTTAAGCCAAAGGCATCAACTGTGTGGAACACCTCAATAAAAGCAGCCTCTCCCACATTGTTCAGAAATTCACAATGGCATCACTTTTAGACCATTTGCATGGGTTTCTTTAACAGTTTCCATAGCTTGATTTATGTATTAAAATGCTTATCAATTAGGTCTGAGAAAGGGTTCTCTTCTCTCAGTTGAGCACAAAGCATTAAACAAAGGGATTTTCCATCCCTGGTCTACCTCAGTGATTCATAACAGAAAAGTAATGCTAACTTGAACATGACCTAAGTTTCTCCAACGCTTAAATATCTTGTGTTGGGAAAAGCTAGATGTGTCAGAAAGGATGGACTTCATCTTTCAGCAGCCACTTCCATTCTGGTAGCAGAACAGAAAGGATGGACTTCACCTCTCAGCAGCCACTTCCATTCTGGTAGCAGAATAATTAATTTCTGAAGAATGAGGTTATTTAATGGTTGTTCTGGGTTTTTCGGGCTCTTTGGCCGTGTTCTGAAGGTTGTTCTTCCTGACGTTTCACCAGTGTCTGTGGCTGGCATCTTCAGAGGACAGCAACCTGTACTCTGGTGTAGTTGGCTTGGGAGTGCAGTATTTATGGCTGTGAGATAGGCTTTTATCTTTTCCTGTAGATGGGTGATTAGTGTGTATTGTTGTAGGTATATTGTTGTGCTAAGGGGAAGAGATTATCTGTTCCTGTGGTTGATGGGTGTCATTAGCTGGTCTTTTGTGTGTAGTGATCCCCTGTCCTTGTGGGTGGGTAGAGTTTGTTGACCTTTTGCACGTAGTATGTTTGATAGCTGGGAGTCAAGTTTTGTTGAGCTTCATACTTTCCTCTTTTTTGTTGAAACTGTGCTTGTGCTTGTGGATTTCAATGGCTTCCCTGTGCAGTCTGATTTTGAAGTTTCCCATTTTGAAAAAACACAACCTACAAACAGTATTCAAGCCCACCACAAAAATACAACAAATGTTACGGTCAGCAAAGGACAGAAGGGACCCCCTCACCACCGCAGGAGGATACCGGATACCTTGGCCAGTTATATATTGGAAGCACAAAACAAAGCATCCACACCAGAATCAAAGAACATGAGAGACACTGCAGACTAAAACAACCAGAAAAATCGACACCCATCAACCACAGGAACAGATAATCTCTCCCCCTTAGCAAAACAATACACCCACAACAATACACATAAATCACCCATCTACAGGAAAAGACAAAAGCCTATCTCACAGCCATAAATGCTGCACTCCCAAGCCAACTACACCAGAGTACAGGTTGCTGTCCTCTGAAGATACCAGCCACAGAGACTGGCGAAACGTCAGGAAGAACAACCTTCAGAACACGGCCGAAGAGCCCGAAAAACCCAGAATAACCATTAGATCCCGGCCGTGAAAGCCTTCGCGAATATAATGAGGTTATTTATTTGTTAGAAGTGTTTAAGATTAGGAGAAGGAGAACAGAAATAAAAGGCACACACCCCCTTTTTTAAAGGATGCTGTAAATATTATCAACCTCATTCTAAATTGCCTTTCTTTGGAAAGGCTTATAGATCCAGGTGAGAAGCAGTTTTTTCTTGTCTGACTAGCATCTTCTCATCCTATAAATAAAATAATTCTACTTACCCCTTCACTGGAATTGTCTCCTGTATTGGCAAGCATTTCCTGGAGAGCTCTGACAGATAAAGATTGCTCCAGCACAAAGTTACAGATGCAAAGGTCAGGGGGGACATACTGCAAAAATTAAAAAAGCAACAATGTCAGCATTCTATCTGACCTAGGGTGTTCTTGCCCCCTACTAGGCTCATTGTGCAACATATCTGTGAGCCTCTTTAAAACTCATTTTTTACTGCTATTTTTTAAAAAAATTAAAATTACATGGTAAACTCTCTGAAAAGATCTGATCAAACATAATGCACTTTGATCATTAAAAAAATACTTCACACCATGAAATAAATTAATGGATCTGGCCTTATATACTACAAGTTCATTGTTCCTTACAAGCTCAGTCTTTAACAGGTACCTCCTGAAAGAACTACATGCAAACTAAGCCCAAGCAAGAAGTGTCCAAACCCAAGTAAGATAAATTAGGTAAATGATAGGTGTCTAAGCAACACCCTTTCATAAATCAACATGGTGCCAGATTCTGTATCTTAAATTTTCATCTGAGCTTTCCTCTGATATAAAAATACAGCACATTGAACAAGAATATTTTAGAATCTATACAAGAATTTTCATGCACACACAATGAATAGATTACTGGAAAAGTTTACTTAAGCCACAAGTAGCACAAAATATATTAGAAGCACTGAATTATTCAATGTGACTGGCTAGTAACAGATCTGCAGTTTGGAGACACTTTCCATTGAGCATACTAATATACAAATAATACGTCTGCATTTCAAATACATGGTGTTTCACTATTCATTATTTTAAAAAAATATCTGAGCAAAGCAAGGCTATGTTATATATTCAGTGCACACAGTCATATTCTTTTGTTGTATTAATAGAGTCTTCAATATCACCAACAAAGAACAACACAAAATGCCCTTTTCTTTTCCTATGTTCAGAAGATAAAGTATGTGTTATGGAGTCAACTACGTCTTTGTATGTCACTTTTCAAAAACTGATTTAAAGATTGACTGACATTGACTTAAATATACCAAAACATAATATTACAAAAGCCATGTCAGTTATTGTTTCCTAATTGTCAACATCAGACAAGCAGAGGACAAAGCTTTAAAAGGATGTGCCTGTCTTACAGCTGTAGTAGATGAGGAATCTGCTTGGCTATTTAGATGATAAAACAGGAAAGGGGCTTCTTTGTGGCTGCTCCCACATTATGGAATGTTCTCCCTAGGGAGCTCAGGTTGGCTTCCTCCCTTTTACTGTATCCTTCTGCCAACAACTGAAAGCAAAGCAACACAACGTGTGCTGCTTATATACCACCCCATAGCACTCTCTGGGCAGTTTACAAGTTAATTATGCAG